TCCTAGTAAATAGTAAAAATTTCTTCTGTCTAGATGCAAGTAGTTTGCATCTTCATAAATATATTAATTTCACTAGTCTCGCTCTGAGACAGTGTCCAAAATTTTTATATCTTTCTTACAAGTTGGAACTTACACGACAATGAATTTTGTTTCTTCTAAACTTTTGTATGAGCACCATTTATTGGGGCGTCGATTGCCAGTTTCTTTGTCATCGGGTTGTCAACTTCCTTGACCTTCTAGCATTGCGCAAGCTTTAGCTCCCATGCATGATCTCCGCATCAAGAGGAGCTTACAACTTTGATTGTGTGTCTGTTGAAGAATGAGTCCGATGACTCATAAGCAATAGCTTAGTTAAGGGAACCCATCGGAGCTGTTAGAAAATATGAGTTCTAAGATAGGGCAATTATTGTTGTTTATGGACCGAATCTGAGTGATCTATTTATGATCAAGATAAAGTTTGGTTAAAATTGAGTGAATGTGTAAATCGACTCATGTTAAAAAATCAAGAAATCATTTATGATTAGAAGTGAAATATTATTTAAACTCAAAGATAATTAGATATCTTCAAAATGCATTAAAGCACATCAATTGACTGAACATATAGGGATAAAGTATTGTTTATGTGGTGTAGGTTATGAGAGAGTTATTAAATCAAGACAAACTCTCAATATTAGATATGATCTTAAAATAGTAAAATTTAAGATCATCAAAATCATGGATACATAAATTTATTATGACAATATTAACTCAACTCTTTCAAAAATTTTAAAATATTGTAAATATAAAGAATCTTTTTTTGGGTTTAATTAGATAATTATTTTTAATGAAAAATTAGGATTTTGCTTTTTAACTTTATTTAAATTTGAACTATACATTGTTTAAAAGTTCAATACATGCCATACATATTTGGAAATGAGGTAAATATCAAACGAATATGACTTATTTTGTTAAATGAGGTTTAAATTTGTAATTTTTTAATGAAATATAAAAATTTTAATTATTAAAATACTATATCATTGGTAAAAAATGAATATATTTGTTGAAAAAAAAAAAAAAGGCAAGGAAGGTAAATTAAGGTAGGTTAGAGGTGGCAAAAACGGAACAAGGCATGTCGTGGTTGTTTGTTAATGTCTTTAGTTTGAAATGAAAATAAAAATAAAATAAAGTTGACAACCATATAATATCAAATTAAATTAATGAAACATGAAATGACACACCCATGTGGGCTGATCGTGGAATCCGCGGCATTTGGTCTCACCTCCTCTGCCAATTCCTATCTGTCTTTACATCTATGTATCTATCCATTAACTTACCTCATTTTCCTTTCAAGCCACCTTTTTACGTCACATTATTTTTTTATGGAAAGCTTATAACTTGAATTCCATTTCTATTTTCATATATATATATATATATATATATAGGTCACCGGTGTTGCACATTTGGGTTACTAATCGGGCCTGCGATTTGTGCTTAGCATAACCCTTTGAATTAAATCCGATTGACCCGATCCATCAAAACCCAATAACTCATGGACCATGTTAAATCCGGCCCATTTGTGTCCATCATAATTTGAAAACTATAAGCTTCTCTAATATAGTCCAAACGTTTAATCACTCTTTTAATTTACAAATTATAAGGTATTTTATATATACACGAGAAACATAAGGTATTTATATACTTAAGAGAATTCTATTTGAATTGAATATAATATGTTAGTCCTAAATTTTATATAATGTTATTAATATTTACTTAATTTATTTTAAAATTTCAAACAGAATATAATAAATTTTAAAGATTTTAGAAAAAATATATGATTTATTATTTTAAATTATTGTCATATAATGGGATTAAATTAGAATACTAATATACAAAAAAGAAACCAAGACACGGTTGTTAAAATAGATTATTGGTATATTATTCACTTAAGAATACAAAAAAGAAAAAGAATTTAATGAATAAATAAATAAATAAATTAGCTGCTGCAGCATTCTTCGTTTCGGGTGAAAAAATTTTCCCGAAAACGGAACGCCAGTCTACTCTTTCTATTAGCTTTATCACTGGTTAATTCTAGGTCAACAATATCGCAGTAACTGAATCAACATGACGCTAATATCATCACACGAGCCTCGCGAAACCGAGAGATCGACGAGTTTTCTGCAAGCAAATAATGGTGCTGGTTTCTCAGTTTCGACGCAGAGAGGACGAGCAATGTCGACTGCTTCCTGGTTACTAACCTTATCCCATAATCCATCAGATGCTAAGATCAAGAATTCGTGTTCAGATTTCAGGCTAATGATTTTGGATTCTGGTTCTGCAGTTACCCACTGTTTAAGATGTTTGTCTCCGATCCCTCTAGACACCGCTAGAGACCCTTGAATTCTCCAAACACCATGACATAAATCCACAAAACCACCCTGCAATTCACACAATTCAAATTAGCCATTCACCCTTCAATTCGATTCAAATCTAGAACCAACAGAAACAAGTGAAGACGGATTTTTCATTCTTACCATGTTCTCAATTCTTGCTCTTTCATCTTCCCTCGAGGGCTTATGGTCAGAAGTTAAGGCCTCGGCGACCCCTCCTCGGCTCATTACAGCGCGACAATCGCCGGCGTTGGAGACGATGAGGTTTCCGTTCCGGATCAAGGCGGTGACACAACATGCTCCACCACGAATGTCCTCTTTTAAGAACTCTCCGTCTGTGATTAAATAGCCATGTTTTATTGCTTCTTCAATTTCTTCTTCTTCCCTCTTTGCAACTTCATCTAATATGTTCTTTTCTAAGTTACCAGCTGCGAATTCAGCTGCCTTGGCACCTCCATGCCCATCAAAAACTCCAAAGAAGGCCTGTGAATAGGACACGAAACCCCCATGTTAGGATACTTTTCTTCTTCATTCAAAATAAATTAAGGGAATTGCGTAAAATCATATTCGGTAATAACCTTTTCTATTTTCGATGATTTTGTGATAAATGAGAAGTAAATTGTTGCTGGGAAATATATAAATTAAATTCTTATAGTTTTTCTACGTTAGAGATTTGAATTCCCTCACAACCTAATTTCAAAAATCATTTTGATTCAAAATAAAAAAATTTAAGACAAGGAGGGAAAAAGGGAGCAATACCTGTTTAGGGTCACCTTGAAGATTAAGAACAGCAGAGTAACGGTCTTCCATGGCCTCTCTCCTCCCTCTCTTGCAATAAACAGAGTACCCATCTCCCTCTCTCTCGATCTCTCTTCTTCCCTCCATCGGCGTTGTCACCGGAGCCACGAAACTCATCGATGCCACCGGAATATTCAGCCTCGCCGGCCGCTTCCTCTTTAAAATCGTCGCCGCCGACTGACCCGACACTGAGGACGACGAAGAAGGCGATAGCGACTGTGAAGAAGAAATGAGCCCAGTCGGCGGTTTCTGGAGACGGAAACGAAAGGGCGATGAAGGAGATGAAGCGGAAGGAGAAGCAGGAGAAGATGAGGAGGCGGACCTGAGGTGGGTTGGCAATTTCAAGGTCAGGGATTCATGGGAAGGAGAGATGATTGATGTTTTGTTGCAGAAGATAGATGAAGATGGAGAGAAAACAGGGGAATTAGAAAGGGCAACTGAACAGGACATGGTTGATTTTTCCTGTTTCTTAATTTTTCGGATTTCGAAATCAAAAAATCGTATTTTTGTTCTGGGTTTTGCTGGATTTTATTTTTCTCCTTCGCAACGTTCGGATTCTGAGTTTTTATATATAAATTGTGATGATGATGAAGGTGTTTATTTGTTTTTTGTTGCAGAGGGAGGAGATATTTAAATGCTGTTAGGTGTTGCTTAGAGAAGAAGAAGGAAAGCGGAAGTCCGCTACTACCGTGTCTGTAGAGAGCGTGGGTTTACTGATTTCGGGCACTTTTCCCGCTTTGACCAATTTGCCCTTGTACCGAATATTATTTTATAGAGAAATAACAAAATTTATTTAAGGAACCGAGTTTTTGTTTTCCTTTTCTGATTGATTTTCTTACAACTATTAAAATTTTAATTAATTAATTATTATTATTATTAGTAAAAAATTATTTCACATTTTTATTCTACTAATTTTTAATTAATAAATGAACCTTCCATTCAAGTAAGTCTAAACACTAATTTTAATATTTGGAGTTTAGAACACGTGTTAGTTTAAGTATTTGTGATATTTTGAATAATTAAAATATGTACATAAAATATTAAAATAAATAATTTATAATATTTAATTCAATATATTTTAAAAAAAATAGTGATAACCTCTAACCAATTGTATTACTTAATTTAAACAAATAAAAAAGAAAAGGGCAAATATGTCTTTTGTTAATGGAGAAGGGAAAAATAGTGAATTGGTTGTTAATAAAACCATAAAATATATAATTAAAAAATCAAAACACACGTTTATAGTTAGCACAGGGGGACAGACAGAGCAGTGTGTATGCTGTGTGTACAACTGTAGTCTATTTGTTGACTCCTCAGGTGAGAGCGTAGGTGGGGCCCAACACAACCACCAGTCACTTCCTGATTGGATAGAAGAATTTCTGGGAAGTTACCGTTGCGGATACGCGTGTAGTTCTATTGGCTGGACAGCAAGAACCGTTGCCATTTACAATTTGATTTCACTAAAGACAAAAATATTCGTCTCCACTTTTCTTTTTCTTTTTTTTTTTTAAATAAAAAAGAAAAATGTGTATTACCATTCAATTTTATTTCCATCAAATTATATACACAAAAAATTTAGACTGTTAGACAACCAAGTATAATATGAACATATTGATCCAAGTATAATATGTAATAAGTAATAGTTATTTATCAAAATTTATGATAGATATGTGACTTATTCAATTATTATATAAATCTAATTTTTTAATCCACTTCTAACAAAATATATTAAAATAATTTCATTTTTTATGCAAATTTCATATTCCGATTAAATTTTTATTTATATCATTATAAATTTTTTTATTAAAATTACATTATGCACTCGTGATATAACAAAATTATAGTTTATTATATTTATCACAAAACCTCTTCTGCTTTATTATTGTAAGGTGATGCTACAACTTCACGTAATATGAATATAACTAATATCAGCATATTTTACAATTTTATTGACTTTTTTTTCTAAAAAAATAAACTAATAAACTTAATCTATAAGACTAATTTTCAAATGTGAATCATACCCTCGTTTTCTGCATGCTATGGTGTTTTTGATCCACGTACATGATTTTTTATTCAACTAAAAATTAAAAAAAAACAAACAAAAAGGCACATGTCTTTATTTTCATAATATAATAATAAAGTAAATAATATGTATTATTAGTTTTTAAAATGAGACAATTATCAATAAGTGAATACAGAAGCATCCAAGAAGGTCGCTTATTTTATAATTACTAATTGCTTCTTCAACATTTTTCTTACGTGGTCCAACCTTTTACTTACTAAGGGACTTAAACTTGGACAAGACCACGTCTATAATCATGGGCATTCAGAGTCTAGTCTTCATTTTAGGAATAAGGGTACTCCTTTTTTCATGTTTCCACTTAATTATTTATTTTACTTATTCTATAAGAACAAGATAATTTTAATCATAATTTTTAGAAAATAGGACTTGACCCATAAACTTTTCATATTTCTTGTAAATTATCATGACTTGTTTAATTTCTAAGACTGTAAGATCAATGGTTGAGTTTCTTTTCGTATATTTATTTTGTTGAAACATGTTCAGCCCAAACCCACAAAAGATGAGCCCTCAGGGTAAGTGTGCAAGCCAGATGGGTTGCTGTAACTCGTAAGAGGATCTGTATTCCAAATCGTACGTATATATGTATATATGTATTCATTAGGGTTTAAAGAGGAAAAGATTATATGTAAATATAACCTAAATATAAATAATCAGATACTGAAATGTTAGAGTAATAGAGGTGTCATGTCTTATTCGATGTTGAATAGATAGTAGATAAATATAACATTGTGAATTGACATGTGAGGTGGTTGTCGGTTTGGCGAACTCTACCGTGAGGGGTAGAATTGTTGAATTTTGGATTCCCTGCTATATTAAAAAAACTCAAATACTTTTGAACCCACTTATTTTTTGGCCTATTACTCTTATTAGTATTTTTTTTTTTTGAGTATAACACTTTAACCCTAAGAAATATTATAAAAATAAATTTTTAACTACCAAAATAAAAAGTGAACAAAAAAAGGAATTTTTGCTAGAAAATTATATCCAATGTGTTTTGTTTCTTCCTACGATTAAATGGTGGTCTTTTGTCGGATCAAACTGAAATTTGATGGATATTTAGAAGACTCATTGTTCTTTATTCTGAACGGTGAATATCGATTTTCAACAGTTGAATTTTATGTACTTTCAGTTCGAAATTACTGTTTACGTTTTTTTTTCCTTACACCGACCAAATTGATTTTCTCCGACGATCGAACAGTCATTTGTGGTCTGATGAGGCTAAAATTTGATGAGCATATTCGAGATAAATTATTCTTTAATCTGAACGATGAAGATCTAATTTGAACAATCAGAATGCATCCGTTTTGCATGAACATTAGCTGCTTTGGTGATATTTCTCCATTCCCTTATTTATTTCTTATTATTCTTGAGACAGATTTTATCATATTTATTTTTAATTAAATTTTTACTTAGTTTTTACTACTCATAAATTCATTCAAGTACTTCCCTACAATGTTAGAGTAACAGAGACGTCAGAAGACGTATCTTTTTCAATGTTGAATAGATGGTAGATAAATATAACACTGTGAATTGACATCATTTATGTGAATGGAGTTAGATGCTAACAAGACCAAGCTTGCATATTAGCTATTACAAGTATGTGACTAATTGGAAGAAAAAGAAACTATGAACGTAAACTATCTAGTTATTTGAACATAAATAATAAACAAAGGCGTTTAGATTATATCTTATCAAGTTATTGCATCAGTTTGTGACCCATCTACTTTTTATTTTCTTCCTATTTACTTTTCTACCTTCTTTAGATCCTTTATTCGTCCACTACCCTCCCCCCTCCCCCAGATTCCTTTTTCTTTTTCATTCACGCCCCCTATGCTTTTGTTTTTACTAAAAATTTATTATTTTTTGCAAATGGATCTGCGGGTTCACCAATCATTGATGGCTCTAAAACCGCTAAGCCTACGATTAGATGCAATAGTACCGAGAATTACGACTGGGAAAAATATATAAAAGATCATTGGGCCATGCGGGTTCCCCATAATAATTATGACCCAGACCTTTAGCTCTTAATACAGGATCATTCAAGCCAGGTTTTTTTGTTATTGGGATTTATGTTTTTGTTTTTTGATTAATAATAAATTTCCAAAAAAATCACATAAAAAATTAAGAACATATTTTTTTGAAATATTTTAGTTTTTATTAAATTCACAAAAAATTAGAATATAAAAAAATATATATTAGCTTACCAATTAATAAAAATTATATATATAATTGATTTTAATCCAGACCAATTTCTAATTTCTTCGTCAACATTTTTCTTAGACGGTTCAAGCTTTTACTTCCCAATGATATTTGTAGTCCAGCGGGCAACACAAGGTCTATAATCTTGGGCATTCAGGGATCTAGTCTTTATTTAAGCAATTACTCACCCATGGGCATTAAATTTTTCATGTTTCAAAATTATTATAACCGTATTCCTAACTAATAAAAATAATTAGTTATTATACTAGAATGAGATAATTTTAATCCTACCTTTAATAAAATAGGACCTAGCCCAGAAACCTTCCGAAGGCTGAGCTGAAACGGTTTTAGAGAGAAACACGGCCTTCCTGCCAGTAGAACAAGCTGGCTGTCGGTCATGATCTCAACTTAGGCTGATTGCTGGATAATAAATTGCGACTTTTATGTTTAAATATACTTTTGATGCAATTCATTGGATATATTGTTAGAATTTTAATAAATTATGGCTTGTTTAATTTCCACGACTACAAGATCAATCAATGATCGAGTTAATTTTGGTTTGTTTTAATTTAATCCTTTGAATTTGATTGAGCATTTCTCCAATCAGAATAATTCTTTAAATCTTCAATTGATCGAAAAATGTAAATACTTCTGTGTACATACTAATTCATGGAAACACAGGAGAATATTACGGATAATTCACAATACATTGTTCACCAAATATGATTTAATCGAGTGGAGGTCTAACTACTTTGAAATTAGATAAAACAATGTCGTTCTCCGACGTCCAAACTCAGCATTTTATTGAAGAGACGGATAGCGAGGAGAACAATCATTTAGGCTTCGCATAACCGTTTTGCCTCGCATGAATTATTTGATAAATGCAGGCTTGAGAAATTAGAGCAAAGCCAAAAATCTTTTAAAAACGAAATATCAACAGAGAAATAATAGGTTTAAAAAAATTGGGAGTAGCTATTAATCAACTCAGTCCCTTAGATGTTCTTTAGAATTGCGATCATGACCGCAAATCATTACAGGTCTGTATATAGCTCATCACCGTCGATTTAATATATTCCCTGATCGGAAAGTGGAAAAACTAGTAGAAATTTTCAAAAATCAATAAATTTAATTAATGAAATGTAGCTGCTCAAGTGTACTCCCAAATCAACACGATGAAAGGCTGAGGAAGTGATAATTAGAAAGCAACACGATTAATTTGGCTTCAAGGGAACGAGTCATATGGGAACTGAGAGAATCCTCACTGACCAGATAGTGAAGCGCTTGAATTAGGATTTTAAAAGAAAAAACAAAAATACTGTAAATTATTGAGAAATTGTATCTACAGAAAGTGTATCTTCACGATAGACAGCAAAGAAACAAAGAGAATAAGAAAGATACCGAATAATCAACGGATCTGATTCTGAGGCCGACGTACATCAGCTATTTCCGCAACGATAGACTGTGCCCGATGGGAGAAGGAGAACGATAGAAAAGAAATAGGGTTTTCTAGAATGTGACTTTGTAGAGGAGTTGAGGGGTTTATATAGGGGTTTTGGGATGAATCTAGGGTTTGGGAGTGACAAGTGATGGGCCGGGTCAGTAGAAAGAGTGACGGGTATTTTTAAAAACTGGGCTGGGCTTTCGAATGGGTTGGACTCTTTGTTTACTCTCTTTTTTCTTCACGTATTGTTTTTGTCTTTTTTAAAAAAATATATATATATTTTGAGTTTTATTTTGTGATTGTCTTTTTATTGGACTAAAGAGGAAATGATTAAAGAGATAAAATTGTGAAAAAATTGAATTAATTCAGATAAAAAAAAAAAAACATATACTTCGTTTGTGGATATATCAATATTATTTATTTTTTAAAATGAAAAAGATGATATCAAAGGCAAATATATGAAACTGTATATAATTTTAAATTTTATAACTTAATTTTATTATAATACTAACTTTTGGTAAATCATTTGATAAAGCACATAAAGCACCGTACATCTCTAACTTGGTAGGGTTTCTAAGTGCGCAAGAGGGCCATGAAAACGTAAGAAAACATGCCCCGAGGAGAAACTGAGAGGTTGTCCGGAGTAAACGTGCACGAGAGAGATGAAGCGAAATTTGATATAATCTTTAATTAACACTCGTATTATTAAAATAATATCATGTGTCAATAAATTTAATATGTAATACTCTAAGTAAATAACATTAATTTTTGTTAACGACCTTGATTACATTAACAATTTTTAATATACAGATACCGATTTAACTGAAATTAAGGTATAACCTAAGTTAAATAAAATTAAATATTATAAAGACTAAATTATTATTTTAATATAAATTGATTCTCCAGTCAAGTGAAAACAAAAAAAAAAAAAAACAAAAACAAAAAAGGGCTTTCAAAATCCAATTAAATAGGTATCAGCCCATTTCGTACGAGAACAAGCAAGTGTATACATTATGTAATTGACGGTGCTAATATGAAATGAAAAGGGTTTCCTACATAATTATGATTTATTAAATTCTCGAAAGGAATATTGTATAGTTTGTATGGTATAAACGTAATCTTTTATACTTGGGTTACCAATACTATTTTACGTTGAAATTTATAATTTATTGTAATTCAAAAACACAGAATAATTGAATTTATAGAATGAAAAAAGTCACAGTACCTTTAGTCCATGATGATGTAATTAGAGTGTAGTGTGCTATTTATTTATCACGATTGAAATACTGCAACAAGGGAATTATAATTTTGTATACAATTACATAATAAATAAATAAAAATTTTAAGTAATTACTCTAATTAATGAAATATATTTTAACTTTTAATTTTAATTTATGTTATTTTAAATTTTATAAAATTATAAATAATCAAACCGTAGTGTAAATTATTGCGTGAGGAACAGTCAGATCTAATCTTTTTTTTACTTGTAAAATGAAAGGGTGAGACTTTTTCTCATCCAAAGAAAAATCACACCAAAGTCAGAGTAATGGATATACGCAAGTGACGTGTTATTATTATTTTTTCTTCCAATAAATACGCATACATAACACGTGTTAAGAATATGAAGAAAAATAGTACTTGGCTAAAAAGTATATTAGGATAATGATAATGACATTTACACATGATATGCTCTAACTATGAACTTTCATTTCCAACAACGATAATGATTCCGTTAATTAATTTATATTAACTTTAATTTATTACTCAAATATAATTCTTCAAATGGAGGTTTAAGAAATAGTTTAATTATAAGGGTAGAAAAATCCTCCTCCTACGTGAAATTTAATTTTATTTATTATAATGTTTATATGATAATATATATATATATATATATATATATATATAGTGTTTAATCGGTCAATATGTGTTCATATATATCTTCGCGGCTTGTTATTATAGCTTGCACTCAAACCAACTATTAACAATAATAAGTTAATAACTAAAATATATATAGTTTATAATATTAAACTTTCAATTTATAACCTACTTTTTAATGACAGAAATTGAAATTTTATAATGAATCGTGTAGAATTAAGGTTACGTTACTTTTGATTGCCATGCATACAAATAAGTGTCAAACCTTATGAAGCAAGTCTACTTTTCGTGTAAAAAATATAGATAAATTTTACAAGTAACGGGGTTTCATTTTCCATCCAACTTACTTTGAAAGTTAAGTTGTTAGCTAACGACTACTGCCTCTATATCTATACATGAGTGTGTGTGTGTGTGTGTGTGTGCGTGTGTATATATATATATATATCGTTTTCATTTGATTTTGAAGCAACCTAAAAATTGTATGGTCAATTTATGTGCTCTTCTTCCATACGCCACATTTCGTTGAGGTCCTCCCATTTGCACTCCACTCATTTTTTTGCCTTCTCTTAATCGCATTTGTCACTTCATATAGATAATATTTAAAAAATAAAAAATAAACAAACGTCCTAATATTTCATATAATTTCATTTAAAATATTTATAATTCATTCCCCACTAATTAAAATCAGCTTCCACAAAAAAAATAAAAAAATAAAAAAGATTTAATACTGGTCTTATATATTATTCCCGTCTTTTTCTTCACTTTCATTAATCAAAAATTGTGATTGGCGGTGCATATATACCTCAAAAAAATTAATTTCGTACTTTGGTTCGCTAAAATATTAACTTCAATATTTTTGTTTCATTCAGATTTTTTTTTTTTTTTTTATAAAAGTGATAGAAAAAATAAAAGATAAATCCAAGTGGTTTTCCAGAAGAGGCCGGTAGGGAGATGAAAGATAAGAATAATTATGGGAAGTTTAGGATTTCTCCACGTGGACGGTGGAGATTCACATAAATTAACAACGACAACCATTTTGTACAGTTGCAGAAAATGGATTTCTCTGTGGCTGTCGTGCTTACCTAAACACGAGATAATGTTTAAGACTTGGGTGAATAATCTCCAATCAGGTAGGGCCATCTGTTCAGAAAACCTAAAGCCCATCCATGTCACATGACCAATAATTTCATTTTCAAATTTTATATGCCACATGATTATTGGTGCACTTTGCTTTTTTTTTTTTTTTTTTTTGTAAATTCGATTCACCTTTTGATTTATTATTAAGAAAATTATTTACAAAATTTTTCGTACATCTTTTTTTTTTTTAATAATCAAAGTACTGATTCACGTGATGAAATGTATTATCTTTTTTTTTTATATATAAAATGTTTAAATTTCCTATAATAATTGCCCGTAAAAATGTGAAATATAATATAAAGAATATTTTAAAAATAATTTAGAAAAATAAAAAAGTAAATTTTAATGTGAATCAAATCTTCTCGTACAAATTATATTAGTGGAGGAGGGTTTGCGTACGGGCACCCAGGAGACTTGGGGATGTTTTGTTAACTAATTTTGATGATTAGAAGTGTATGGGCCTCGATTATGCAAATCCAACGGCCGAAAAAGCTTGATGTTACATGTGTCCATTATTTATTTCATGTTTAGTGTTGGTGGTTTGGTTAACAATTTGACTCGCTAAAACCTTTTTGTTATTATTTAATTAATACATACGTGCATTATATATTTTTTTAAAAAATTAAATTATATTATATTTAATTATTAACATTAAATTATGATATTATTTTTAAATAATCAGATAATAGTACCCATTTACGTGATGACGAATGGGTTTAATTTATATTATATATATATATGTATATATGAGGTGTTGCTCATTTTTGTTAATCACTGGACGAATATATTCAATTAAAACCCATGTGCATTCATCAATCCTCGATATTATTTGCAAGTATTCGAATCCAATGGTATATTCTTTGTCAAACATTAATAAAATTAATAAAATAATTTATTAGAAATTTTATGAATCATATATATATAATGAAATACAATAATAATTAAATAAATACCAAAAACCTTACAATCAATCTCTTTCAATAAGCATGTTGGATTTGAAAAATGAATGAAATATGCAAAATTTGTTTATTATACAACATGTTTTGTAATATCAATATTAATCATTAAGTAAGCAATTAAACGGTATTTTTATATATAAATTGTTATTTAATTTAAATTAAATAGAGTTGAAATTAGATCTGCTTTGATCAAATTCAACTTGATTGAACTGAAAATTTAAAATATAAGATTTTTGGATTCAAAATTAATTTAATATAATAAAATATAGAGTTTAAAAATATTTATTTTCAATTCAATTTGAATTTTTATAAATTTTGTAACAATATGTTCTAAGACGATGAAAGTAGTGAATTTATGATGATTTGAAGAACAAACACGAAAGAGAAAGAGATGATGAGTTTGAGATAAAACTCTAATAAGATTTCAACTTTTATATTCTATACGATTTAAATAAATAAAAACTGAATTATTTATATTTTAAATAAAATTAAGTAGTTATACATATCTTACATATTATAACAATTATTCATTTATATCAAATTCCATATCAATAATTTTAAAGTGTAAACACTGATGATTATTTGTTGAATGATTTACAAAGACTCAGTGGGTTAAATTTAAATTATTACGTGTCGAAGTGTTGAAAAAATCTAATTGTTTAAGCTATAGATTATCAATTTGTGTAAATTTTTAATACATATTAAATTAGTATTCAAAATTTATTAGTTAATTAATTTTTGTGGGTTATATATCTGACGTGACGTGTATGTCTACGTAAGGCTCTGAACTAAAATCATTTCGTTGGGGCTACCGAGTGAGACGATGATTACATGTGATGCCCTCTTCAGTAACCAAAAAGTCAAATTTAAATATATGGTCTCCAAAATTTTAGCCCAAACTAAAAGCAAAAAGTCATGAAAGGGCAGGGCCAATCACGATTCCTCACGTACAAATTATTAATCTCTTCTTAAGACCAAGTACAGTGTAAGGGAATTATTATGTATAAATTAATTTAAACAATTTTACCACTTGTGATTCCATAGCTACTAGTAATTTAGTGTAACTAATTAATTTAATTAAAAAAGTTTAA